AGCGGGTAAGATTACAGTTACTTAATTGGTAAAAGTATTTAAAGCGTAAAAACAAAAAACTCAGACGGACAGACTGAAATAGTAGCATTAGAATAAACTGGAGGCCATATGTGATAAAATGGTAATGAGTTCAAAATAACTTGGTCAGTGATACGAATTTGAAAATAAGTCTCCAAACCGTAGAATTTGGAAAATTCCTTCTCTCCACCCTTGTCATGAGCTCTGGTCCGCAAATGCCCTGTGGGATCTTTTCTTCCTGTCCACAAACCATCATCTGCCATCAGCCGGCTCTTGTTGTGGTACGGTTCTCCAGCCCCCATTAGCTTCTGAAAGATCCTTTGTGCTTCTGCTCTACTCGGTTCCACTCCTCTATCCATTTCCCCCTACACTTTCAAGGTAACACCCCCTTGAAATGAAGGGTCAGGTACCATTCTTCAGTGTGCTACATACTGCAGGAGTTGCTTTAATGGAAATTATATTAAGTACAACAGCTACTGGTTCAAAGTACATGATTCTCAACAGAAATAGCTAATAAGTAAAAATAGTGAGCACTTAGTACATGCAAGGCACTCTGCATTTATCACCTTACTTAATTATCTCAATGACCTAACGAGGTAGGTACTATTTGTAAATCCTCAACTCTACCCATGAAGGAACTGAGGTTCAGAAGAGCTAAGTAACTTGCTGGAGGTCATACAGTCAGTAAGCGGCAAAACTGGGACCAGAACCAGGTTTGTGTCGCTCTAAAAACCATGCTCTTAGCTATTATATTATACTGGATGCAACATGACATAATTGAGAAAAGCATGGGTTTATCTTTCTGAAAGATTTGGGCTCTAATCTTGGCCAGTTCCTAGGATTAACTGTATGATCTTGGGCCAGTTACTTAGAATTTAAGAGGATCTTCAAAGCTCTGCCAAGATCTGGGACCTGCCTAGTCTCTAATCTCTTCTCTTACCTAAGGTCAGACACCAGTCTCAAATCCCACTGGCCCTCCTTTAACTGCTCAGCCAAGCTCATTCCTACCTGGAGGATCTTTGCAAATACTGTTCCCTCTGGAATGCTGTTACCTGCCTAACTCTGACTCATCTTTTAGCTCTCAGCTTCAACAGCATTCCCTCATAGAGACCTTTCTCTGATCCTCAATTTAAATAAGGTACCTCCTGTTATTCTTTCATAAGAGGTTCCTGGGTGGTGCAAATGGTTTGCACTTGACTACTAACCTAACGGTTGGCAGTCTGAATCCACCCAGTGGTACCATGGAACAAAGGGCTGGTGATCTGCTTCTGTAAAGATTATAGCCTGGCACCATGGAACAAAGGCCTGGTGATCTGCTTCCATAAAGATTACAGCCAGAAAATCCTATGGAGCAGTTCTACTCTGTAACACATAGGGTTGCCATGAGGTAAAAATGACTTCAATGGGTTTGGGGTTATTTTTTGGTTATCCTTTCACAGTACTTTGATATTTTCATTTATAGCACGTATGAACAAACTTTTGATGCACATTTGCATATCCCACGGCTGTTTTATCCCACCTGATCAGGTGCTCACAACTATGGCTCACAGGCAAAATCCAGCCCACCCCATTTTTGTCAATAATGTTTTAGTGGAACACAGCAACACTCATTCATTTACACAATAGCTACTTGCACACTATAATGATAGAACTGAATAGTTGTGACAGAGATTGTATGACTCGAAAGGCCAAAAATATTTTCTATCAGACCTTTTACAGAAAGGTTTGCTGGCCCCTTTAACAGCCTATAAGCACTGACCACTTAACGTGAGGCACATCATAGTCTAGTAATATCTGTTAGTTTAATAAATTAATTATTTAGCTTTAAAATAGGACTCATAAGGATTAAATAGAATAATATATACATAGTTCTTGGCACATAATTGGTACATGTTCAATAAATGGTAACTACTTTTTTTCAGTTACCTGGAAAATCTCTTTAACACAACTTGACAATTCATCATTTTGATTATTTTTAGACACTAGCTTAAGAAATACATTCTTTCTTTACATTAGAAATTGAGAAATAGTGTTTATAAGCTTAGTAACTCTAAAAAAATTCAAAATAAAAAAGTTGTTCATCTATATCCTCTCCTAAATTATTTTATCTATACAATAAAAAAACCAAACCAAACCAAGCCAAACCCATTGCTGTCAAGTCAATTCTGACCCACAGCAACCCTACAGGACACAGCAGAACTGCCCCATAGGGTTTCCAAGGAGCAGCTGGTGGATTCGAACTGCCAACCTTTTGGTTAGCAGCCCAGGCTCTTAACTACTGTGCAAATTTTAGCTGTCTAGACTTCCATTATTAAAGACAGTTAAGGTAAAGGCAAAATTCAATTTAAACAGGTAGCCACTCTGCGTTTCCTTTCTTAATTGCAAACAAACTGTTACATGAGCTCTTTAATATTTCATTTCACATCGTAAGTCTGTATTTCTCATTCCGGTAAAAACATATCCTGTTTTGTGTATAGCCAAATAAACACCTGCAATGGCAGAGCAGTCTTTTACTACTTCTAAGAAGAGACGACAGTGAGTAACTGTGTGAGGGTCTACTGGAGAATCTGCAGTGGGGGCAACTTCATAAAGAGCAATGCAGGTAACACTTTTCTTTTCAACATGTGAACACATAGTTTAAAGGAAGCCCAAGTTAGGCATGCCCCACACCTAGGTTGAAGTGCTGTTTAAGATTTGCTGGTTTGGATTATAAAAAGTTATCTACATGTTTTAGGTTTTCTCTGAAATGCACTTATGACTACTCACATAGGAGGTGAGAGGCATATAAGATGAATATTTACTTATAAGATGGCTCTTTAGAATGTCTAATAGCCATCTAAAATAATCACTGAAATATACGCCAAACAGGAATGTTTTCATTTTTACTAATTCCAATTAACAGTTTTGAATTAAAGGGCTTATTGTACCTAGATAAAAGTGAAATAAATAATAAATAGATCTCAAATTTTACACAGTAAAATAAAAAAATCTATCTCTAGAATTAAAAAAAAAAAAACAATTAATTTTTTTTTCTTCTCTTAAAATTATTATGGCTCCTAATATGGGTGAGAGTAACAGCAACTGTAGATACAAATACACTTAAATCAAGAAAAGATGTTCAATTATTAGCTCAAAAGCATGATGTTAAAATTCTTGTATCCATGTGGGACTTTTAAATTCCTTTTATAAAGCACAAAGAAAGCTCATGAATTCAATCCACAAAATTTTTCTCTCTTTGTAAGTGGAAGGAAGATACGATGAATCTCATGAACCTAAAAATTAACTAGCATCAGTAATGAAGTGCTAAGTGCTAATTCATATAATTTTTGACTGCACCCAAAGTAGGTTCTAGTCCAAATAACAAGGTCCAAACAGTCAGTGATACATAATGTTCAATATTTCAGCCTTAATGTCAATTTCAAGCTTCAAACAAATTAAAAATTACTGTGCTTTTATTGACAGAATTACTGCTTTTTGACTTGACCCACAGCAATAACCAATGCACAGGGAAAACACGGAAGGAATCCATCATAAATCTTAACACTACTTGTCCTCTAGCTCAATTTTCAGCTAAAAATAGTTCAAGTCATGCATACCTTAAAATATGTAGTAATTTAAAGGAGTGTAAACTTAAAAACTAAGTAATAAAAAGCTTCTTTACTTCTTAATGGCATATGGACTTTGACGACCTAAATAATAATTTCTGTTCATTAGAATTTAAGGGCTGCTAACCAAAAGGTGGGCTGTTCGAATCCACTAGCTGCTCCTTGGAAACCCTATGGGGCAGTTCTACTCTGTCCTGTGGGGTTGCTATGAGTTGGAATTGACTCACTGGCAACGGGTTTTTTCGATATAATTTACACATCCAGCAACATTAATTTTTGAAAAAAACGAATCAGTTCTAGTCTCACTTGCAGGTCCAAGAAGATCAAAAAAGACGAGAGGGGGAGTATCTTTACTTGGGGGAAACTGCAATCTGGTGGGGTGCTCCCAAGGCTGTCTGTCCTCGTCTTTCCTCAGTGTAAATGGGCAACAGGCAAAACACTCTTTTCTCATGGCCAAGGAAGGTCTACTCTGCAGGTTCCAGTATCTGTATGTAATGGCCAGGATCCATGGGATTCAGCATACTATAATTTCTCCCAAGGACCACTATTTGGTATTTAACATTAGGATGCTTACAAACCACCCAGCTCTTCTTACATCACCTAATTAAATCCACTTGCGTCAAGTCTGAAGCAAAATAGAGCCAAATTGTAGTCTTTACTGATGACTAGTGTTTGGCTATGTAAAGTCTTCAGATAGATTAATTGTATCACACAGACATTATCATTGAAATTGTAGAAAAAAATAACATTATCTAATTGTATGTTTATAAAATTCAGGGTTTCAAAAAATGGCACGAATTAACTGATAGTACTTGCCTATATGTTTTAAGTTACTAATATATTGTGTGGGTTTGCTGTTGCTGTTGTCGACATCAGCACAATGTTAAAATGTTTCGGATGTATTTCAAAGTCTCATACTGTGAATAGAATGAAAGCCATTTTTGTAAAGGATATTTAGCTCATATTATAAACCTTTAAATGGATGACCACAAAAAGTCTAGTTCCCATGAATATAAGAACATCTTTGTCTGATGATGCGTGCAATGTAGTGATATGCTTAGTAAGTCTTAATTATTAAGCTACTCATGTTAGCTCCTATTTAAAATTCATGTTGAAGTAAAAACTGAATAACTTTATGTAAACCATATTTCTAACGTATAGGCTATGCAGAAGACAAGGTTTTTTTTTTTTTCCTTTACATATGAGAGATGACTGGCCCTTAAACTGGCCACGTTTAATTCACTAAAACTTCTTTTAAATTCAATTAATAGATATTTATAAATTCAAAATGTTTTCACTATCCTTAACGTATCTGGGGAAAAATGCAATACATAGTCCATGTAAATAATGATACAAAGAAAAGTTTACCCTACTCACCTGTCTGTTACGTTCATCCATAATCCTTGTAATCTGAATCTTTTTTCTCCCCATAGTCCCCGTTTTTCTTCTCTCTCTCGTCCCTGAAATTATGTATTTTTTCCTTCCTTTTCTGTCTCTTTGCTGTTTCCTCCAAACAAACCTCCTTCTTCAGCACTTGCACAGCTCAGTTCCCAAGTTTCCGCATTCGTTCCTGCTAAACAAAAAGGAGAAGATTAAATACTAGAGGTAAAAACAAACCAGTTTCCTAAGAACTACTACATTCTAGTTTTATAAAGGAAATAAACCATATGGAAGTAAGCCAATAAAATGAATGAAACTAAGTGTTTAAAAGTACATGGTATATATACATGGTATATACACTAAAAGTACATGGTATATCACATGCAGGGGCATATCAAATAAGAACGGTTTGTTTTTGTAATTAAAGTAATCTCATAAGTACTTTAACAAGTCATTTAAATGATGAATACCAGGCTTTAAATTAAAGCCCAACACTTGAAACGTATCTTTTGCAAAGAGTTTCTTAATATTTTTTAATGAAATTAGGTGACTATTTTCACCCTTCTGTTATGAAAAATTACCTAAATCAGAGAGTTAATGAACCTTTATGTACCTGTGTATGCTAAGTAGGGCAGCTAATTCATTTCTGAAGGGAAAACAATCTTGTGTTTTGACAGCAAAGGTGATAACGTCCCTCGTGATGCAAACAGGATGGACTATTATGAAGGTGCTAGTTGATATATGGAAATGTCAACTAATTTAAATCTAAATTCTTTAATCTTATTTTTTAAAAAATCACTGCTATGAGAACACCATAAAAATAATATGGGATATTTAATCTTATATAACAAGCATCTATCAGCAGCGAGATCTCCTTTTCTTTTGAAAACCCTTAAGCTATATCCTGAATACAGAAATTGAAAGAGATAATCATTGATAGAAAGGAAGTGGTACAAAAATTAGAGTACTATTCCATTTATAGGCATATTTTTTATAAAGACATCAGCTCTCTTAAATATTTAAAAAAAGACACAAATTATTTCTCTGGGGCGTGAGAAAATTAAAGAAGTTTGCCAGTATATACTGGAGATCTTTAGGTCATGAACTGAAATTAAAGAAATGATCATCAATACCAAAAGGTAAACCCAAGAAACCCAGAATATTAAAAGTATATATTTTATTTTGTTATAAATTCTATCTGAAAATATTTCAACATAATGAAAGTGAACTGCTGTGAAATGTGGAAGTTAATAACAAAGCATTCCTCAACGGCTTCTTCATTTGCAAGCAACAGCTTCAATTATTCTCTTCCGTCTTATGTCAAAGAATGCAATAACTTTACACATCGTTCAGAATTTCCCTGTTTATTTTAGTTGATGTCTGACAACCAACCTGATAAATTCCCACACGTATTATGTAATGTTAAGCCAATGTGCTGGCTATTTAATAGATTGGCTCCAATTCAAAGTTATTGGAACAGGAAAGCTGTTAAGACACTTGGCCTGATCATCAGCTGTCTTTCAATCTCTGTAACTAAATTTCTAAGTTCTTTATCACCTTGAGTAAATTTTTTTAATAAAGTTTTCCATGATCATGTAATTGCAGAAACTATCATGATATAACTGGTTCTGGTGGATCAGCATTGCTTAAATACTAAGGACTAGCAATTCTTTTTTGCCAAATACCTTTCTATTAAACTGCAGTTCAGTTCTGCCTCTGAGAATATATATATGTGTGTGTGTATATATATATATATATTTTTTTTTTTTTTTCAGAAACATCATGACCACACAGTGCTCATCAAAAACTATTACTCCAGCTGTATTTTTAAATGTTGGAAGTAGTTCAAAAGTTTAAAAGAATTACATAAATCACACACATGTGGCAAATACACATGAAAAAAATCAGCTATACAAGTTGTATTGTTATCATAAGATATATTAAAATCACATTAAAATATGAAAAATCCACAAAGCACAACTGTATCATATATTTACTGTTGCTGAACACTGTCCATCTATTTTTAGAAACATTCTTAAATATCACTCAACTGGGAAACTTTCCTGTGTTTCCTATAATCTTACCTTAGAAGCAAGCAGCATGTTAGAATGGTATTTCCCATGCATGCACAAGACCCCAAGGAGACAAACAGGCTTTTTCTATCACAGAAAAGCCAGTGCATGAATCCACAGTAAATGCACATGGGACAGTTTCCTTTCCTTTCATTTAGCTGAGGCCAGTGGCACTATTGGCTTACAGGACTATGCCTGCCTAAACGCTTATTCACTTTAAGGTGGAAGGTCAGGGTGAACAGATTAGAGCATGGTGACAAGGCAGGGAAGATGAGAACTTCTACAGATCCTGAATTCAAAATATAAATAACAAAACAAGTAGAGAAACAACCCTGGTCCTCCGAAAGACAGAGCCCCTGAAGAAACAAACTTAGAAGAGTTGCTCCGTATCACAACCGTATTTCACAATTTGGAAACGAGACATTTTTTAAAAAAGATAGCAGCAAGAATTTCTTTTATTTTACTCTTAAATCTCGATGGGGAATATTTAGCCAGAAAGGAAAAAAAAATGCATATACGTGACTGATAAAAATTACCACGGACTCTATTTTCCTTTTTGAAATATGCAAGGGAAATAGAGAAGTTTAAATTTCCATGTAATTAAACAATTTTTTTTAGTCTCCTGTAAAAATGAGTATTTCTTTTGAAAATATATTGATATTTTTAAAATGCAAAATTTGCTACTATTAAGTATTTATGAAGAATGATATGTGGTGATGATGTAACTGAGTAACTTTTCACAAAGTAAAACGTGTCATGAAAAGTGGCTTCCAACGTTTGATTACGGGTCACATTTCCAGGCTGTCAGTATTCATTGAAAGGATTAGGAAGGTCAACAATAGCCCACCAGTTGTTTTTCTAACACAACTATTTCTCTAAACTGTTATTTATGCAAAAAAGATACTGTAAGGTAGGTTTCAAGTATTAATTTGTAGAAGGCTAGAGAGGTTGAGAAAGATTATATAACTTTAATAATCTGTAAAACCATTTTGTATGTATATGAGAAAAAAACACTATAATCGCTAAACTACACGTAGTAAAATTTCAAGTTATGCTGAGAACTTTCATTCGGTACAATCAACCATAAGCTTAAAATAATTCCGGCAGCCTTGCCGCTACTTCTTTCTACATGAAAAGAAGCATTCTTGGAAAATAGCAGAGTTAAGTATAAACAATCAGTAATTTAAAAAAAAGAAGAAGAAATGCTCTACCATAGATACACTCTATAGAGTTACAGTCTTCTGCAATTTTTTTTTTTCTTTTTGCCAACCTAAATGTAAGAAAAATAAAATCAGGCTGCTTACTAAAAAGGGGAACTTCATTATGGCAGGCTTCTGTTCACTTTGAGTTTGGCATAGCAGGCAGATGAAGGCAAAATAGTTTGAGACCCAAGTGGAGAAGAATTTCTTCTGGACAGACGCTAACGATCATTCTCCCACCCGGGCTCTCTCATTAACAAACAAGTTCTCTTGAGTGACACACACCGCCCCCACCCTCTCCCTTCTCTCTCTCCCTCCTTCTTACTCTCTTCCTCTCTCCCTCCCTCCTACAAATCCCTCCTAGTAACACAGAAGAATCTTGACAGAATGGCAGGAAACACGCACAGACTGGTCAGGGAAGGATATGATGTCAGCAACCACGAACAATAAAAGGTGTAAAGGTGCTTCCTTCCCTAAACTGTTCCAGAAGTGTAAAATGGGAACCAAAACTCTCCACTTCCTTCTCTGAGCAGAACCGTCTGAGTGTGCTGTGCTACGAAGCCCCACAAAGAGAGGCCTTTGAGAGGTTCAGATAAGGGACAGTGAGAAAAATCCAGACACGGGAACGTAATTTTTAATGTCTATTTTTAAAACACCTGAGAAAAATCCTTTTCAGCTGTAAGTTTAGTATTTTGTGTGATTGCTTTACAAAAAAAACCCAAGAAAACAAACAAGTCACTTTGGTGAAGTAGCAGACAAATCAAAATGAGCATTTAAAACATGCCATCCCTTATTAAAAAAAAAAATCATTTTATAGAGATTAAGCAGTCATATAATTGGAATTTATCCTTTGAGGCAAATGAAGAACTCTATACAAAGAGCCAACACAGATAAATTATTATTTTTGGTAAAAAACAGAATCATAAAAACTGTCAAAAAACCAATGTTTGTTGATAGAACACACTGATTACAGTTTTTCCTCCACAGTTTGAAAAAAAAAAAAAGATATATTTTGGAGTGGTGGTGGTGGTGGGGAGATTCTGATGTTATTGCAGCTCTCAAGGTTCTTTAAAAAATTCAGCCTGAGATCCAAAATAACTCACATAAACTTTCAGTACCTAGTGAAACTATTCATTTTAATCTCATCACCATTAGGTTCTTTCTAACATGGAAATGGCAGTCTACCGTAAGGTTTCTGTAGGAAGAAAACCACATATCAAGTGAATCTGAGTCATCTTCAGATTTCAATCATCTTCCCACAACACTTTGATTTAGAAATTAAACATAACCTTCAGTTATGTGTTTTGATCTTAGAGTGAGACTGCCATGCCACATTAAAAGATGTGGGAAGAAATTAATTTTCTTCTGCTAAACTTATCTTTGCAATGCATTTATTTTGCTACAATAAGCACAATGCAGTCATTTAAAAACAGCCTATGAATAATGATAAAACATTTAAGTATGTGATGTCAATTTGCAAAGAAGGAATTCTGGTTTTCTTTTTCTCATATTAGCAAATAACTCTTTCATTTACTCACATTTTCACTAACACTAACATCTTCATATAATGTTTTGTAAAAACTCAAGGCTGAAAAGAGTACACTAAGTCACACAAGAAATAATACTATATAAATAAATACAAGCTGGATAATACTTAGTAGCAGACAGAAATGATCATAAGCCCAGTTGCTTCAAGCCCAGTATTACTAATTCAAACACTTAAATGATTCATTATCATTTTAAGTGGAAAACTTTGCTCATTATGTGCATCTAGATGCATTTAACTCTCTATGATTTGTCTGAATGACATACGATGTGTGCAATTATATTTTAGTTAAAAGGAACAAGTAGAAACTTTTAGTTTTTTCCCTTAAGAGCTATTCTGAACTTCAAAAGAAATAATCAAATTATTATTCTTATTGGTGCTTGACTACGTGATGCCTTATGAGTTGGGGTATATTTCCTTAGTCCTGAAAGTCATTCCACTTCTCTCTAAGCCTACCATCTATTATACGGAATGTTATGTTACCCTAGCTTTGAGTGAAAACTGAGTTTGTTTTAAAGTCACACAGCCAAGACTCATCCTATAAAGAAAAATAAAAAGAACAGCCATTCTTTCTCGCTGGATGAATACCATCATGTGACACATGAAGTTATTTTCCCAATTTACTCCAGTTTAGTGTCAATATGATAAATTTTGGAGTCATCTTCAAGTTTCATAAAGCAATATCACACATACTAATAACAAATAATGCTGGTCATCTTTTAGTTCTTCACATCTGCCATGTCCAGTTCCTACCACAGGGCCTTTGCATATGCAAATCCTTTTGCCTGGAATGCTTCTTGTTCTCCCCTGCCTCCTTAACTTCTCTGCCTTTCTGTCTCAGCTCCAGTTTCACCTTCTTAAGAAGCACTCCATGCTCTCCTGACCATAGCAAATCTTCCTATTATAGGGTCTCACAGTAACATGTCCCTCTTTGTAGCACTTGCCACAGATGGAACTGTATGTTTGCTTGCCTTCCTCAATATCTGTGGGCCACGTAACAACAGAAACCAAGTCTGTTTTGTTTCGCCTTTGTAGTACCTACAACTATGCCAGGGCCAGGCACAGAGTAGGAGTTCAATAACTATCTGCTGATTAACAGAATTAATTTTTATCTCCCAGCTGAAGTATATTCTGCATTCACTATTTTAATAACTACTATTAAGAACCTTTTCATATTTTTGTTGTTTATACAGAAGCAGACTGATAATCTTACTTAATCCTTTATCATTTTTATTTAGCATCTCTTACGTGGAATAAGAACAATTTATACTGAGAAGTATAAATTTCCATGCTCTACAAAAGATGGGAAAATATTTCTTCATTTCAGGATGGTTATGATAATTCAATACAGTAGGTGCTGAGTACACAGTACTACTGGGAACATGGTCTCTACTTGTAAGACTGCTTCAGTTTTGAGGCATACATTTAAAGCCATATAGTAAAGCTATGAAATAAACAGTCCTTACATATACCATCAAGACCTCAGTATACAAAGCTAATGATGAGCAACTTCTAACAGAAAATGCTTCATTTATCCCTTAAAAATAATCACCATATGAAGAAGAAATTTACAGTGGCATAAAAATTGAGAAAAGTTTCTCTTAAGTTTCAGCCATGGAAGAGCTTCAGGCTGCAAAAGTAGAAATAACTAGGGAAATATATCAATTTTCCCAATGACCACGGCTGCTGAAAACTCTACATTAATGCGTCTAGTCCTACATTTAATATCTTTCCCCAAGGACAAAAGGAGATGAAATGTATGTCAGAAATATAATAAGGCTTAAAAGGAACTCTTTTTGAAAACCCCTGCAATTAATTTAATAGGTGGGCCTAACCTGCCATTATCACTGACATAACTCATTTTATTTACACAGTTCCAGAATTAAGGAGACACATACCTTTAAATGACTGTATTATACTATAAACAATTTAATCAACACGAGGAAAGCACAGTTACCCTCATGTCACAGTTATCCACGGAGTATTTGGTCTTGTACATTTTTTTCACACTGCAGCTAAAACAGCATTCTCCAGTCCCCATGCCAAAATAAACTCCAAATGGTCTAAATATGTCAAAAGCCTCCTGCTATTCAACCACACCACAGTTTTTGGCCTTTCCACATCACACTAAGTAATTAATTCGGGCTCTATCATTTTTTTGTGTTCCTAATTTTTCACAACAGGGCAACCACCAACTTTTCTTTCAAAAGCCACTTAGTGATGTGGCAGGGCTTACCCCAAAGGTAAATTCTACACTGTCCTCATCACAAAGCAAGAGCTACTATTTAGCATCACAGATCGCAGTCTGCTCCCCAGCTGTAACCTCTCCATAAGCACATGCAGCTGGAATTTTTTGTTGCTGTTATTGAACAAAGCCAAGTTAAGCACTATACAACACCAACATCAGTGAAACATGAAATTGTCAGCCTTCAAAGCGAGCGAGCTAGGCTTGAAGTGGGAGACATTGCTATTATACATTTTCATCTTATTATGACAAAATCTGAATTCCTAGGCAGCTTATGACGCCGTTAGAAAAAAAAAATTATGTTCATTATTTTCTTAATTTTTAATGTATCACATTTCATCATTAAAATGGAATTTTCTGCAATTTTTTTTTTTCAGAAGCCTGTATGTGGTGGACACACTTTTCAGCCTTACTGATACATTTGTGTGTGTATGTAGAACATTTTCCTACAAAACTGTAGCATATGGAAAAATAAAACCATTTTATTCTTTCATAATGTATACACGAAACAGTGAGAGTAAATTTTAAGATACCCAAATAGTCTTAACTATTACCACTAGTAAATAATCACACTTATTAAGACTGTCATATCAATGGTTAAAAGGACACTCTAAGTAAAGGCTTTGTTTTATTCAGTACTGAAATAGCATGTGAAATGACTGATAATTATGTCTTTGAAAATAATTTACTTCTTGTCACTACTTTCCCAACAGATGACCCTGAAATGGGAAGAAATACTACTGTCCTCCTGCCAATATTTTTGGGGAAATGTTAAGGGAAAAATGCTTGATCAGTCACCTGCTGTTTACATAATGTCAATTATTTTTGTCTCTGGTTAAACTTTAGAATTTTAGAAAGTTTACATAAAACCTAATATATATATGTATATACACATACACATACATATTCAAAATGCCATAATAGTATCTCTCAAAACACAGATATTTGATATTGCTATTATATGTCACTCAACATGGAAACCAGTGATTCATCAATTTTTCTATTTCTCTTCATCTCTTTTACAGCATCCTTATCAACCTAATTAAGGCTTTGTTCATCTGAAACCTCTGATGACAATTTGTTTAACTCTATCCCACTGTGGTCTTCTTATAAGGAGAATTAAATCTGATCTTCTGACAGCAATCATTAAATGATCCCAACTGGCCCCAATTAAGCCACATGGCTCACGGGCTTCCATACAGTCAAGTGTCAAGTTCTCTGTTTCATTTACACATCATTCTTTACCTTGGTTTATTTTGTTAAAGCCAATTAAGAATGTGTCTTATCAGGTGGAACTGAATTTCCTTGTGTACACTAGCTCAAGACAGTGCATTAACTGACTTTTCAGTTGCACTGGAGTATCACACAGGACTTCTGGAGCCATTCTCTCTCCCTGTAGTGGTACTATTGAAGAAAAAAAAAAAACTTTACATTTATTTACTCATGCTGAACTTGATCCACAAGTACCATCTCAAAATAATATACCTGTTTAACAGTTCTGCCTAACATAAATTGCTAATAACTTTTTATTTGGATCGTTTACAATAATACTTTAATGGAGTAGTACCTGCACAAAAAGTTGGGTTAAACATTCCTTTTTGAACATGTGAAATTATCTCTTTATCTCCCTCTAAAAAAGCAGTACCAAAGTAAGACTTCTGAAGTTAACCTTTATTACCCCTAATTTCTGTTTTAATTTTTTCACGTATGCTCAATTGTAAGTTCTGTAATGATGTTCCCAGGCCTTCCTACGAGCGCAGGTAGCCTCAGGATTTAGAGCTCATTGATTGTGTGCTGCTCCAGGGAAATGACTGATTAAAAACAGCCTCATGAGGAGGAGAAGCTCCTATTCACATCCGGCTCATCTTAGTCTAAACTCTAATACCCGTATGGAAATAGGACCCCCTAGCTTTGGCTTTAGAAAACCACAGTTTACATATAGTCCTTTGCCTTAGATGTCAAGGCAAAACGTAGTTAAATTAATCCCAATATGACTGGTGTTTGACACAGTTTCTGGAGGCCTTAATCAATTACCCTGACTACTTTCCCCTGAATATGAACAAATGTACTGTAGTTTTATATTTATTCTAATTATAGCTATCACTGATCGTCTATTGGTATCTGATGCAGGCTATCTGTCACAGTTCTCAGAGCAAATGGATTAGAACCTATCTGTTCATCCTAATCATACATTAAAAACTGACATTGAGATAGAGAAGTGGAATGGGTGCTATGCATCTTCTAGAACATTAACCTTGATGGAACATGTACTTGGTTTTTATTACTTAAACAACAGATGTAACTAACAGCAAAGAAAAAAGAAAATACAATGAGATCTTTAACATACTGATATGACTGGCAACACCGAGAAAAGAGTATGTGCATTTTGAGCATCCACTTATTCAATAATTAAATGTTCTTCTCAAAAAAAGAAAATTAAAAATATTTGTTGCAAAACGCTGATGACTTAGAAAACGCTTAATAACCGCACAACTTACTTTTTGAAAAATGTGTAATAAGTGTTCTAAAATTTTAGTAAAGCAAAACAGACACTGGGGTGTTGTATTGTAAAATATTTCTCACAGTATTATAGTAATCTCCAATAAGATTTGATGTTAATTTTAGAGCATGCTTCTGCTAAAAAGGGCAAACCCTGCAACGGATTTAGTACAAAGAAGCTGAAAATATCCTGTGGAAAAAAAAAAATCTGTAGAGAAATCAGCCAGCCCAAATCCTGCCATTACTCAGCACTGCAGTGACGTGCGGATGTTTGTAGTGGTCTGAGGAGCCAGCAGGGGTGGAAACTCTACGTACTCGACTCCAACATGATTGCAATTGAACCTCATCAAAGTAAGAGCTCATAATTTGTCACAGAAAACAGCCAATTAACATATGTTAGAAAAAGGCTTCATAAAGATAATATATGATTAAAGACCCAGTGCAGCTGTTGAAAATCAAAACTATGCATTTAAAAAAGAAATCTCAGCCTGAGCTTCCGTATGGTTAAACTGATAATGGCTACTATGATTTTTTTTTTTTTAAGCAGAAAAATATAATTACAGTGTTTCTTATAAGTTTGGGGTTATGGCAAGGGAGAACTGGGTACTGTGGCACTATTTACTATGCCTTACTTAGTTCTATAAATAGTTGAAGCCCTTGCCAAAACTCTGTAGTTACTTTGTTGTAGTGCTATTTTAAAACACAGACCTTCATTGTGAGCTAAATGGCCTTCAGGATGCACTTTGTAGTTATTGCATTCCTCTCAAAACTATATCCTCCCTTTATCTGTGCAGAAGTCCAGCACAAGAGGACTCTAAATGACTGTCCCTCTCACTGTAAAACACGCTAGGACTGTGTAACATGCGGTTTTGATACTTCAGAACTTATGTCAGGCGTGGCAGTCAGGAAGGATGACAGTGAAGTGTCAGAAATGAGATTCAGGTGTGTGCATGCAGTACAGATCCTCAACAGTGTGCAAGCCAGGCCACCTGCCACAACTTTCAGAGCAGATGAACAACACGTAATATATCTGGTGTATTCTAATTATAGATTTTTAAACTAAGCTTGGACTATATGGGCATTCAAATCCTGGCTAAATTGCTATTATTGGATACCGTGAGCCAAAATCATGATGCTTAATATCACAGGTATCAGTGAGAAAGTCTGGACATGAGACAGTCACAGAGAACGCAATATGTGCCAAGCAAGATGCTAGGTGCCAGGGACACCACCGTGAATAAAACAAAGAAGTTTCTGGGTCTTCATGATGCTTACGTTCTAACGGGAGAAAGAGTCAAGAAACAAGCACATCAATATGATGATTTTTAGATAGAGAAGTGCTACAAAGAAAATACCACAGGAGAAGGGGCAAGAGGGTGACTGAGCAGGGAAGGGCAGAGGTGGAACATTTGTTGGATGGTGTAGTCAGGGAAGGGTTCCTTGAGAAGATGACATCGGAGGAAACAAACTATAGAGGTAGCCAGGTATGACTGGAGGGATGAGTACTTCAGTACTCTGCCTCTCACTGGTATATGAATGTTGTCAAATCAGTTTCTTGAATCTCAGTTTCCTCATCTGTAAAATGGGACTTAAAAAAACAAACAAATCCATTGCTGTCAATTCCGACTCACAGTGACCCTATAGGACACAATAGAACTGCCCTATACAGTTTCCAAGGAGCACCTGGTGAATTCAAACCGCTGACCTTTTGGTTAGCAGCCGTAGCTCTTAACCACTATGCCAGCAGGGCTCCCCAGAACATATAATATAGTGCAAAAGGTTTCTAAAGTCGTATCAATTGAATCCAAAGATGTACCTTCCCTTGAAATGTGGGTATTTCATTAAAGCAATGCCCACTAGGTGATGCAGTCCTTGGGGATATAAAATGTCATTTCACAATGCTGAATATGGATAGCACCATGCACAATCTGATAAAATTATAAAAAACACACGTTTTTAACTTTTAGAAATAAACTATCTACAAAATTACTAATGTAACCTAGTCATTGGGTTAGGCTGATTTATTTCCTCTCTCAAATGGCCCAACTCCCAAGCAATCAATAGAGTTTTGATTAAGATTTCAGCAATATTTGAAAAGCTCAGTGTCTCACTGTACTGGAAAGATTCATATAACTTTGGGCATCCCCATCTAATGAGAGTTAACTGTAGCCTCAAGCCAAACAAATTAATTTCCAACTTGGAATGAATAGACATATTGAATCATCTAGTATTTTTTTTAATCAATGCCTTCTTAAGAGGAAAAATAAAAACTTTAAAGATCATGAATTTTTATAAATAGGAAATTAAAGCATTGTAGACTCATACCTTAAAAAGTTGTGAAATGGAAATGTACAATGAAAAGCTATAGCATTTTAAGGGCAGGAATAAAAATTTCCTATGCTATGAAACTTTAAGGAATAACAGCTGTACCTTTTCAATTCTCCTTCCCAACCATTTTCTAGAGGTAGTAGAAACCTGATGCTTTATCCCAAACCATTTTTTCTACTTCCTATTTGGTGAACAAAATTTGTGAGTTTTAAAATAGGGTAAGTTATATAGTTTACCATGAAGCCTAAATTCACACTAACCTAATTTCATTTATAATTGATTAAATTCCCTGAACAAGAATTATACATTTGAAAAGTATTTTTTTTAAATCAAAACTATCTTTTTTCCCCTCCTAAATGAATCATAGTATAGATATTTATTATGATAAAAAGTAGTGCCGTGTTTGATTTTATTCTCAATGCTAACCAGTATTTCACATGGCATTCTCCTCTCCTCTCCCTATCTAGTAAAGTGACCTTTAGAGTATGTTTACTTCACCCTCCAAAGCCCAGCCATAACTGCATATAAACCAGACATGTAAATACGAGTTTCTTCTCTCTACTTGTAACATTCCCCACTCCATTTTTTCATTTCATCACCTTTCTTTATCTCTTTTTCCACATGTTTAGAACTGAGGGGATATGGAAAGTGAAACTGTCAAAGAGCTAGGAATAGAGGTGTTCTCAGACAAGCCAAACGTTTCTTCCGTATGATCCAGGCAAGGCAAGGGCAAGTGCACTGCCGAGGGACAACGCTGTGTCCAGAGCTAAGCTGAGACAGTCCCTAGGCCGAAGGCCTGGCAGGAGGCTCCTTATCTCAGCATGTCTACACATTCTGTCCTGCGCTATTTTCAAGGATAGCCCAAGTCATCCTTGGCAGATAATGCTAAATGGAAAGTATTACAGTACTTCCTCTGTAAAGACCAAGGCACTATAGATCAGAAGTTATTAAAATGGGCAGTATTTTAGCCAGATTCCCTAAAACCTAGATCTAAAAGAAAACACCCATGGGTGGATACAAGCCCATGAGTCTCCTCGGAGATCTCCAAGTGCTTAAGTTAGTTTTCCCAAAAGTAGATTCTAAAGATCGCTGGTTCCTATGGCTGCTAACAAGCTGTTCCTCAAAAAAAAAAAAAAAAAAAAGTCAGGAAATCCAATAAATTTGGAAAACATTTCCTTGCTGTTGAATTTTCATATTCCTCAATATGCTGAATGCCAGAATCTGGAGTATTTCCCAATTTATCTGGAATATCACTTGGGAAATGCTGGCTTTAAAGAAAAGCAACCAACTTCGAACAAGCGTCTTCCCTCTGATTATTGATTACACCGAACTGCTGAAATGCCCCAAACCAACACTTAGCTCAGTGTCTGGCACAAGGAAAACATTGTCGAATAAATTAACAAATGATAAAACAATGGAAAATTGTTCTTTTAGGTTTAGAAAGAAGTATAAACATGATATCAGGTGCAGAAAACTGCTGTCCATTAAAAGTAAAAATATTAACAGAATATCTAGCAATTAAAGAGAACAATTTGTTTCCAAAGTCCAAAACTAAGCAGCAGTAGAATACAGTAGAAAGAATTCTCTTATTGGAATCAAACTCTTGGTAGGGTCCTGCTACCCATTAGCTGTGTGTCTTTGATCCAGTCAACTCTTTTGGGTTCCATTTTCTACGTACATATAAACGGAGATGGATTCAATGTCTAAGGCCCCTTTCAAGTTCCTAAATGGTATAAATTCAATAAGAAGCCCTGGTGGCACACTGGTTAAAGTGCTCGGCTGCTAACCAAAAGGTCGGAAGTTCGAACCCACCAGCCACTCTGCAGGAGAAAGATGTGGCAGTCTTTTATAAAGATTTACAGCCTTGGAAACCCTATAGAGTAGTTCTACTCTGTCCTATAGTGTTGCTATGAGTCAGAATCAACTCGATGGCAGTGGGTTTGGTTTTCTGGTTTATAAATTCAAAAAAGGTATAACAATTATTTTGGAATGCTTCTCAACATAATATAGTTCTAGAAAAACAATAAGATGATAATGGTGTTTAATTGCCTGACTAAATAAAATCGCTTCTTTTCATAGTTATTTTTTTGTATTGAGAAGTTTGTTTACATCAGCCTCAAGAATATAAGCTTAAGACAAAGGTTGCACTTTGGACCACTAATCATATTCAGAAGTTTAATAAACAATAGTTAGGGATGATAAAATACTTATTAAGGTGGTAAAACCTTTCTATATGTTAAGGTTATTCCTTGCCACAGCCTATGAGGAAGGTGCTACTATAACTTCCATTTTACAGAAGAGAAGACTGGAGCACAGAGAGGTTAAGTAACTTGCCCAAGGTCACATAGCTAGTCTTAGATCTACAATTTGAACCAGTCCCAGACTCAGTACTCTGAACTACATACTTTGCTACTTCTCCATGTTGCAAGGTATCATTCACAAGAATACTCAGAAATTAAAATTCCATGCAGAAAATGTCACATTCAAAGGGATTTGGTAGAATCTAAGAAATACTTTAAAAATCAGTGTTCCTTAACATTCTCTAATTCCTGATGACAAAAATGAGTTTACTTCACTGCATCAGTAGGGGAACAGAATGAAACCTGAGTTAGGCATTTGTCATGAGAACATCAGAATTTACTGACTGATCATCAGTAGTTGTTTTTTTCCCTCCTTTCCACAAAAGAATGTGGTTGCTCACAAGGAAAACCAGGTGAATGAATCATATCATGACCCTTGGGAAAAATAATCAAAACAGGTGTCTTCCTGATGATGGGTCAGCAGAGTCCCTTTCATCCACGATGAAGATGAGAATTACAAACAGTATTACAGACATCTTATTTCTAGGCTTTAAGCAGATATCTTGCCCCCCTTGAAAGTATGCTGAGTAAGTTTCTAAACTAGACCTAATCAACGCTGGTATTGCCTTGGTCATTATCTCTCCCCTCCTTCCCTTTCAACTGTTTTTCCTAGTCTTCCTTCTCTTTATGTTCCTTCTTTTTTTCCCCCTTCATTTCCTCAAATTAAGGCCTACATCAATATTTTTCCATTTGAGGTGGAGTTTCCACTTCAGAACTTTGTATTATTACCTACTTCTTTAGAATTCTTTGTATTTGGGTATAGCTGTGCAATCCAAACTTCTCAAATATATTATTTTGGAAGTAATTTTACGGCTATCAGGTTTATAAGACACACACCTAATAAAATACACTAATTGTATAAAAACAGTTGACATAATTGGTCATGTATTTATAACTGTTGAGGAAAAACTACACACCTTAGTGCAGTATAGAAGTTCACATCACGATTTTTTTCATAGCATATTGCGTAGCTTTGCTCATCAGAGTCTACAGAGTGTGAAGAAGTAATAGTCTGTATATTTTCAAAATGTGTCAGATTTTTTTCCCCAACTTTCATGGGCAAAGAACATAGTGATACATATATATTTACTCATGCATTTACATATGTTATTGTTGTACTACTTGGTAAGTACAGTGGGTCGGAAATAATAAAAAATTCATAGGCAACAATGACATATTATATCCAGGACTGAACTCAATTTCAGATACCAGGCAACTGACTGTGCAAAGTGAAAGCTCAAAATGGCTGCTTCCATATCTCTTACACTCTAAAAAGGGCTCTTGGAACACAGGAAATCTCTGAGATTTCTTATTTAGTAAGAACAGACTTGTCGGCAAATACTGCCTTTCAAAGTGAAGAAATCTTTGGAATAATTTTTATATCAGTGGCACTCAAATCTATTAGTGAGGTCTAGTAGTAAAAATGTTCAGGGGTGGGGGGAAGAACACATTACTTTTAGATGCTAGAAAGTGGCGATTTCTATCAGGTAACTAGTCAAAGTAACCAAATGCTACTTTGCTACAGAATTTTGCTGAGGATTCTAAACTTCAAAATGACATAAAATTTGTCATCTTTTATATCTTACAAAACGGAAAAACAATGAACATAGTGACACAACCTCTATCAAGTTCCTTTAAAGAAAAACAGTTAGGATGAATATTTAATAAATATTTTCCTAAACTTATTATGTAGAATTTCAGAATGGGCTTGGAAAAGTCACTTGCCTTAAAATGGATCTTTATGAGAGATAATTTTTGCCACGAGAGAGAAGAATATCTTTTTTTTCCGTAGAAATAGTTATCTGTATTTCCATTCAGCCAATAAGGGTAGAAATGTTGAATATTATTTCTGGCAGAGGCTACGCAAGGTCGTATCATTTTTCCCTCCTTCGGATAATATCACACCCAAATTATTTCACAAAGATTCCACCTCTCCTATTTCTAATGCCTTCCGGAAAAGGAGCAACATAACCTTCCTCAGAAACCTATTTTGATATTTCACAACTCTCACTCTCAGGAAATTCTTACTTATAGCTAATCCCTCACTGAATGCTTTATGTCCACTCCTCTTGTTCTGTCCTCAGTACACAGAACATTTGGTGATCACGTCCTTACTTCATACACTTGAAGATTGTGTACTAAATTATACCTATTTCTTAAAGTCTTTCCCTGCTTTAGCTTCTATTTTTATTTTCCGTCTTTGCAGTTCTTCATTTCAAGTCACACCTGCCTTTAGCTCTGGAATTCAAAATACACATATACCAGAAAACCACCTGCCGTTGTCTCTTCCGACTCACAGTGACCCTATAGGACAGGGCAGAACTGCCCCACAGGGTTTCCAAGGAGTGGCTGCTGGAGTGACCCTATAGGACAGGGTAGAACTGCCCCATAGGGTTTCCAAGGAGTGGCTGTTGGATTTGAACTGCTGACCTTTTGGTTAGCAGATGAGCGCTTAACCACTGTGCTACCAGGGCTCCAGATAAAATACACATACTAATTAAAAAAAAGGAGCCCTGGTGGCAGCGCAACAGTTAAGCACTCGGCTGCTAACCGAACAGTCGGCAGTTTTGAACTCATCAGCTGCTCCACGGGACAAAGATGTGGCAGTCTGCTTTCGCTGGAATCTCTATGAGGAAGTTCCACTGTGTCCTATAGGGTCACTATCAGTCAGACTACACTTGACAACAATGGGTTTGGTTTGGTTTTAGTTACTCAAAAAAAAAGCACTGGTATACTTCTATCAATGATATATTTTTCATAATCCACACACTGCATGCATTTTTAAGTAGATGTTTACTTTTACTTATTCCAATTTTCCATTTTCTCCCCTATCAGATTTGTTTCTACCCAATTCTTCCACATTCCATATTTAGAGATTTAATTTACTGTTCTCCCTGGTTTCATGATTTCTGATCACTTCTCCAGTTTACCAAGGTAACTCCGAGTTCTGAACCTATCTTTCCAGGGCCAAACTGTGAACACTCTCTTTACACAGGGCTTGTCAGCATTTTTAAATTTAGTGAATAAGTTATCTATTTCACCATTCCTTCAGCTACCATTAAACTCTATGTGGTTTAGAGGATATTTTCCCAATTTATAAATGAGGACATCATACAGAACAATATCAAAAATCGTGGACAGATGAGATGATGTCAATCCTTTCTCCTTTATCATCCACTCTTGATACTCTTATCATGGAACATTAAAATATTCTCATAGGATCAATCCTTTTATGACACTGTGTCGGTTGATACTCATACCATGCTATGTTCAGGATATACACACATGAATTTCACTGTGATTTTCCCTGTATACTTTTAAAGTCTGCAAATAAGAGACTTACTAACTGTGGTTCTCAGGGTCATCCTTGGTTTCCTTTAAAATACGTCACTGTGATAGTTTTACCTTTTAGTCTTTACTCACAAATTCTTAAGAAAATAGCTTGTGGATCTGAAATGGCATTATGTTACAACAGTTTGGGTATTAAAACTATTATCTTAGGCCTTAGCCAGACCTGCTCGGCAGTTCCATGAAAACTGCCTTGTTCTTAGTATCACTTGATTCCACAGATCATACATACACGCACTAAACTTCATGTACGTGGCCAGAAGCATGAGCTGATTTCACTACTTAATAAAGGCAAAAAACAAACGAGAACAAAAAATGTAGCAAAGAAGCATTTCATTCATTCTTTCATTCAACAAATATTTTTTGTGTTATGACTATGTTTCAGGCACTGTTC